GATTTTGCACTCCGGGTAGCCCAGGCACAAAAAAATCGTTGGAAACGGCAAAACAACGCGTTTTTTAAAAACGGCTTACGAAACTTCCGTTTTCTGACCCGTTTCCACGCGTTTTCTATGGGATATAATGCGTGTAAACGCGTTTCATAACGTGTGTTTCATTTTCCGTTCTCACGCATTTTTACTCCGTTTTTATCGTTTGAAAAATGCAACTAATCATTCACCGTCGTGTTTTACGGTCAGCCGAGTATATAAGTATAATCGAAATATCGAAGAAATATCATCGTCTTTTCGTTCTTCTTCAGTTTTGTACTCTCTCTATTATATATTTTATTTTTAGATCAAGTCCTACCGGGTAGTCTAGTCTCACCTTTGGCTTAACGAAAACTCTGGAACGATTCTAGAGTTGCAGACTCGACGCGGTTACGCGTTTTGATCGTTATTATTTTTAACGATCAAAACACACGTTAAATGTTTCATCATGAAATGCGTTACGGAACGCGTTCTGAAACGTTGGAAAACGCAAAAGTAACGCGTTTCCAAGGTGTTCAAAAGACTGTTTTAACGCGTCTTTTGATCTTTAAAACGCGTTTTAGGACCCATTTTTCTAAATGGTTTTCCACTATGAAATTCAGGAGATTTTCTCTACTTAGATATGTACAACAGCAGCAATGCCGCTCCATGCAATATTGATGCAATCAGCGAACTTAACAGATCAACCAACACCATCACAACTTCTGTTGAAGTTTTTCAATGAGATGCAAACAGTACCAATGCATCTGCCAGAAACACCTAATGAAGGTGGTTTCTATTTATGCTTCACTTATATTCTTCCTTATGGGTTATTTACTATTTGTTCAGATTTGAACGATAACGAAACAGCGATTGTTTTACATGTTATTCCGGCGTCCGAAGATTTCACACGATCAGAATCGATGAAATTATCGAAAGCGTACGATCCAAATGGTGAACGGCAATTGATTGCTGTTAGCAAAATTGATCAATGTGACGAAGGTAAAATAGACTACTGATAACGAATTCAATTCAACTTATATATGACGTAGAAGAGCTTTAGTATTTCTGGTAATTTTAATTTTTCTGCTATTGGCGAAAAATTACAAGGTATTGGACCGGGTGCAATGGCATTACGGCTAGGGTGTGTTGCCGTTTTGAATCGAAATCTTAAAGAACTTAAAGAAAATATTGGTTTTGATGAAATGAAAAACCGCGAGAAAATATTCTTCAAAACAAAATCAATATTTGATGATATACCAGAGGATTTTAAAGGTAGTGAACAACTGGTGAAGAAATTAGTTAATATACAACAGCAACGGATTCGATCAACATTTCCGAAAATAATAGAAGAACTAAAACAGCAAATCAAAACGAAAAAAGCTGAACTGAAACTATTACCAATAGCTTTAACATCGGAAATTGATTGTTGGACGAAATATAATGAATTAATTAGCTTATATCGCGATAGTATATATTCAAAAGTGAATGGAAAATATGACTATCACTTAGCAATGAACGGTAGTGATGACTCATCACGAACAACATCATCTGATGAACGTATTGCTTATCATATGAAAAAGTTTCAGAAAAAATGTCGGGAAAAACTTTTTCATGTTTTTCAAACTTTTTTACAGAAAACTATTCACAATATGTCATGAAATTGATCGAAGAATCGTCTGGTATTGGGTTGGACAATTTTATTTCATTTGAATTATTTGTACATTTGTACGATGGCGAACACCATAAATTGGAAAAACCATGTATTGATTTAATTGAAATTGTCAAAGAATATCTTGAACAAGTTTTGTTACTCTTGTTTGATAAAATATTTTCCAATACAACGTATCCACGTTTAATTCAACATTTGCCAGATGCTATCAAAACACAAATAGATCTTGATGAGCTTAAGACTTTTCTCCTACAGGTCTATTAGAAGACAACTTAGACAAAATAGTCCACTCTTATAGCATGCCTATTTGTTCTTGTTCTATTATTTTAGCTGAAGAAGAGTGTTTGAAACGTGTTACTGAACTATTAGAAATGGAACAGCGTCCATTTACACTAAATGAAAGGTATTTGGAGATAATCAATAAAATTCAACTAGCATATAATGAACACAAAGGAAAAGCGAATAAAAACAATCCTTCATCAGTCAAAACAGAAATAAGAACTACACTAACGGTACCATTTGAATTGGACGGTTTACTTATTGAATTATCGGCGGAGAAAGAGACAGCTATTTATTTACAAACCGCCTTACATTCATATTGTAAAATTGTTCAGCAACGTGTTATCGATAATGTTAGCATGATTTGCTACTATCAGTTTATTACAAAATGTGCTATGACATTAGATAAAAAATTATTAACGATGCTCACGTCATCGGAGCGATTTAGTTTGATGATGGAACCAGTCGCACAGATTCAAAAACGTAAAGTGTTAACAGCATCTATTGACGTGTTTGAAAAAGCTCTTAAATTAGGACAACAACATGTTTAAAAGATAATACAAAAAAGTTAGATTGACTGACTATGTTATTTCTCTATGTCAATCCGGACAGTCAGCACACTGAGTAGATAAATAAGAAAAGCTTTTTATTCGTCACTTCTCACCCGTTATGTTCCTTCTTACACGCGAACAGGAATTTTTTTCTTATCCTGTACTGTTTTTTATTTGTCTCTATTTTCTGTCTACAATACGGAAAGAAAGAAAACAAGAATTCCACAATGTGAACGGAGTCTAATCTCCTACGGCTGTATTCTAATTAAACTGACTTATGTGCTTGTTCGGCCGACTTCTAAACGTCCATATAATACCAGCTGGAAAATGTGTCTGTCACTTCCACCTAGCAAACCGTGCATTAATTTTGTAGTAGTTGCTACAAAGAAATCACAATAAAAAACACTTCAACACTATTGCTGTGTTTTCTAAGAAAAAACTGGATTACTTAATGATTCTGACTCTCAAACTTGTCTTTGTTTGAACTTAATAAACCCGTTATACAACCGTGTTTTGTAGTCATAATAAAATCGTCCAACTTAGTTTTTAGATAAGTAAAACTGTGGCTAAGAGCCAACAATGAAATTAAAATCAACTGGAGAACTCTTGAAAGTCAGCCAGCATTAACCGGGTGAGAAAGAAACAAACATTTCATTTTTCATAAATGATTTTCAAATCTTATTCTTTTTAACTGCATTCAGCAATTTTAAATAGTGACAGCCAGCATTAAAAAGATCCTTGATTATACTTTTCTTCAACCCCTCCCATTCGTTGATCCATGCTCTCACGAGATACTCAGCACCAATAAGAACACAGTCTCTTGTTTCGTCGTCATTTTCCCAAGAGACTCCTGGCGCCCACATAACTAAATGCGCTACGAAATGCACGCCACATGTTTGACATGATTCTTATCTGGACTGTATGTTTGCGAATACGACATTAGAAAGGAGGACAAGATTGTGTTGAATGTGGATTGAACTTTGAATCAAGCTAAGAGGTAAAGTTCCGCTGTAGAGTTGCCGACATCGAGAAATGGTAGACAATATTTGGCCATTTCTCAATCTAAAATGTATATTCTTCGAAATGTAGTGGTTTGAGGATCAATGTGGATCAAAACATTTCCAGGCCAAAAGTTTCCCATTATGAAATTTTTGTGGAAAACCTCTGAGCAACACACTGGAATTTTGTGAAAATCCGAGCTGTCCTGAAACTCAAGAGATTTTTGGAAAATCCGAATTCAGAGACCAACAGTAGCTGTATTTTGATGATGATCATTTTATTGGTATAGAATGAAATATTACAACCACGTATTCATTTAGTACTGCACTATGTATACATATCTGTCTTATTATATATATTCATTCTAGAGACGAAAAACAAAATACGCGAACAAAGAAAATGAAAGAGAAAAATGAATACATCTCGAGAACGCAGAAACAGTATAGAACTCTAACAAGATAGCTACAAGAAGCTTTCCAAAACCGGGATCTCCGGTGGGAAATAGGAAAGGTGGCGCTAGTTTAGTTGTCAGAGTAGTTACCCTTTAACTGTTTATCCGATGAAGGTAAAGACCTGTGGTTATCGCCACTGCATTCAGGATCCGAAAGTGCATCTAGAAATGTGTTTTGCGTTTTATGCGTAACGAGTTCTGTATACCGTAGTAGGATCCTTATGGGACTACCCTTTATTAGAAAAGAATGAAAATATTTTTCGCTTCCACACCCTTCCACAATTCTATCAAAGTCGTTTTCGGCTGTATCTACGTTTGTTAAGTGGGTAAAAAGAAAACAAATATCACAAAGTTTTCAAAAGGAAGAGAACACTAAAAAGAATACTGGAAATGAGCTGTTCCAAAGCGGATTCGGCTTGTCCTCTAAGAGTTCATCAACGGAGAGTTTTCAGCAAAATATTCATTGTTATCTGCGTTCTGAACTGCTAAAGTCGGGTTCTTCTTAGCCAGTTTTTCACACTTCTCCTGGCCGTATGTAGCCGCATTATCACCGGTATCCGCAACATCATCGGTACCAGCAACGACAAGAAAATGAGTTGTTTCGTGAATAAGTGCATCGCCTTGCGAATCTGTGCCAGCCACTGACGCTTCGAAAAATGTGCTGCATAGATTGTACTCATAGGGCATATCCGGGTAAACGTAGGCGAAGGTACCACTCGTACAATGGTCAACGTCAACGATTCGACAAAAGTACTTCTGCGGCTTGTTGTGAAGAACATCTTTGACGTTGATGAAGTGATCCGTGATTGCACTGTAGTGTTCTTCCTGGACAGCTGAACTTCTTTCAGAATCACCTTCTGCTACACCGAACCATTTGGTGAAGCGCTCCGTTTTTTCCTTTAATATGTCATTAGCCAAGAAACGTTGTGTTTCCTTCGTGTACTCTTTGGCTTGTACGATAGCAGCTTCGATGGTGGCTTTCTGCTCGTCAGTACATTCGTTGTTGAAAGTGATCTGAGGGGACTCCGTCTTACCGGCAGCGGTTTCCTTTTTTGAACTGAGCAGGAGACGACGTCGGTCTACTTCTTCCAAAACTGCATTCCTAACGCCGTTGAGTTGGAGTGTCAGGATGTTCGACACGATAGTTGCCTTAGGAGCAGCAGAATGAGTTTTCAGGACACGATCAGCAAACTGCTGGTATCGAATCTTGTACGCGCCACTGACACGTAGATCGTAGTAGGAGCTGAGCGAGACGATACAATTCAAATTCTCGCCTGGTGCCAAAGCGATAGTCGCGTAAACTGCTGCTGCACTGAGTTTAAAACGAGGCCCGGAGTAGGATACTTTCTTGCCATGGAGAGTGACGTGGAACAGAGGTATCAACATTTTACCGTTGGACGGTACGGCCATCTGATAGATGTAGAGGATTGTTTCTTCTGTGTTGCTGAATTGTAAGTTGGCTTGGACATCGTCACCTTCTTTCGTTGCATTTGAGGTGGATGTGATCGTTAAACTGACGCTCAGCCCACCACCTACCTCATCTGACAATGGAACTGATTTTCCACTGACAACCGCTGCTGCACAAATTAATGCCAAAATGATAAGCTCTGTCGACTTGCTGTTGATCATGATGATATTTGATTCTTGTTCTTCTTTACCCTACTGTTGTTATGTTTGACAAAATCGAAAGCTAATACTGCTCTTTTCTTATAGTAAAAGCTACGGCATTCAACCTACATATCATTATTAATCGTGTGGGATTCAATCAAAAATAGAAAATAAAATATACAATACACACAATAACTTTTTGTTTTACCTCTTTTTTGTTTCGATTCTCAAGGACAGATCCAGAAAAACACTACATGTGATACTCAGAGACCTACAGTGATTGAAGAGAAATAAGATGTTCAAACAATAGCCATAGCAAGAGTGTAAAGCCGCCTAGTATAATCGATATGGCGTATCGTTTTATCAGTAACGAAGACCCTTTATGTGTGTGATAAAGGGGTGTTTATCCGTTATTGTGTGTATTGTATATTTTGTTTTCTATTTTTGATTGAATTGCACACGATTAATAATGATAGGTAGCGATCACATATCATTATTAATCGTGTGCAATTCAATCAGTTAGAAAAATCCTCTTATGCAATAAAGACAATAACCTTTTTATGTGGAAAATTATTTGTGACCTCATAAATCTTGAGTGGAAACTTGGAGAAACGTGGTTGAGGGTTTTTGTTATTCAGAAATGAACGGGTAATAAACTGCTAATCTGAGGACCATTTTGTGGTTTTCCAAAGATCTCCTGACTTTCTGGAAAGCTCGGATAGAATTGCGAAAGTGTGTAAAAGCGAAACACATTTTCATTCTTTTCTAACTAAGGGTAGTCCCATAAGGATCCTACTACGCTATACAGAACTCGTTACTTTTGATTCTAATTCCGAATATGGTA